ACACACACACACAAACACACACATACACACGCACGTGCGTGGACACACACATACACACACACACACACACACAAACACACACACACACACACACACACACACACACACACAAGAAAAGCTTTTCTTCGTTATCTATTCAGATTTTTCAGTTGTTCCTTGTCATGTAAACGAAACTGTAAAAAAACAACAAACAAAAACAAACAAAACAGCAACAACTTGATTACTATGAAATTATGTGCAAATTCTTGTGTAAGAAACCACCACACGTACCACAACATTGCCTTTGGGTGGCTGCAGATCGGACGTACCATTATGGAACTCCTTATAACCCGATGGGGAAATGTCTGATAAATTGTTATGACTGAAATAGGCTTCAGCTTGGACCAAGACAATCAAATCTTTTCCAGAATTTTGGAAACAAAAGGCAGGTAGATTGGAAAGGGGCTGAAAACGATTGAGGTCATCCGCTTGAATGTAGAGTTTCTTAAGAAGAGGAATAACAAGAGCATGCTTATTGTAACATGATATGTTCATTTGGTAACACTACGTTATTAAAAAGTAAATCCTCTAAATACAATGGAAGGTCTTCCTATTTTGTTGACTAGCTAACTTCCGTCTCTAAAAAGGTCAATACTTTGTTGCTACTCTTCTCTTTTCTCAGGTTGCGTTATGATTCTGTTACTTTTTCCTCCTTCTGTTTGGGCGCCTAAATTGTACCTGTTTAGGCCATTTGTCGACACACGGACAAGACCTGAGTTCTATTCCCCAGTAGAGAGAACATTATCATCTCTACTGCTATACTATACAAAAAGGAAGCAGGCTCTTCCAGCGATGCCAGTCAGCACCAATGTCCCAGGAGATAGACGCAGATACTAGCTGAACATTTCTCCCTCAAGGGAGTCGAATTCTGGTCTTCTGCGTGCGAGGGCCAAGTACCCAACTGTCACACCACAGATAGCGGCCATGTCTACATAGGTAGTAAATGCATCTCCTTTTTTGTAAGAGTTTGACGGCGTACGCAACTGCATGACGTCATGGGGGGACACAGGACACTTTAAACATTTTCAGTTTGTTAGGAAATAACTTTGAATTTTGCCCGGGTGGCGGCCAAAGCCTACTCTAATCGGGTTTGGAGTCATCAAGGCATGTTTCACTTGTACACCTGACTCCGAAAAATTGTCACTCTTGACCATGAAGGCTAAGTGTTCGATCTTACATACCAGATCAAGGGTGGACTGAAAGACAGCAAGAACGAAGGAGTCAGGAGTAGCAGTAGAAAAAAGTCAAAAGCCCAGAGGAGGGGGAAAGGAAGGGGGAGGAGAAAGTGAAGATGAAAATAGATGACGGAACATGATTAGAGAGAAAGAAAGGAGGAGAAAGCAGAAAATTATAAATAAGAAAATTTTCGTTGCTGTCAATTTTCGAATCCGGAATCTGTTGAATGAGAGGCGAACATTGTAACTGTAGACAACGAGAGCATCCCCCGATACATTACACATTTCTAAAAAGACATTTAAATAAACACGCTTGAAAAAAAATGTCCTATTCTTTTAATGTGGAGATTAGATAGATAGATAGATAGATAGATAGATAGATAGTAATGACATAGATAAATAGATAGATAGATAGATAGATAAAGAGATAGATAGATAGAGAGATAGATAGATAGATAGAGAGATAGATAGATAGATAGATAGATATACAGGATGACATAGATAGACAGACAGAAAGACCGAGTGTAAAAGTGCCCCTCTAATGTAATAGACAGAAACAACGTGTACAGTTAAGGAGGGGAAACAACTCACTTGGTCTGTCCATCCATGGTGGTGTAAGAGCTCTTGTACAGGCCCCGCAGGTTGGTGATGAGCTTGCCCGAGAAGTGGCCAATGGTCAGCGTGTAGGTGGTGGACATCTCCAGCTCCTGATCCACCTCGATGACGTGGAACTGGCGGTCTGGGACCTGGAACTGCTGCACGATACGTCGAGGAGGCGAGTATCGAGAGCGGACGAGAAGCGACGAGTCGTCGATATCGATAACACTTCTGTGAAACACTATGTACTTTGTGCTGGTGTTTACCTTGAGTGAAATATTTACTGAGCCTTCAAAAATGAATTTAGTCAAATCCACTTTGAGCTGAATTTCGTAAAATGAAGGTATTAATGAGCGAGGTAGTCGGATATTCGACCAAGGGTATCCATACCCGTCGCTTGCGCCGGGTGAGGTAGGTCGAATTTTTCCCGGATCGACCCGGTGGTCTCCTGTTTTTGATGATATCGATTCTAAGTTGTCAGTGACCAAACCCTGCGCCTGGGACGTCCGTGTGGAGTCACATTGATGGCACGAGGTCGAGTCCATAGCTCTAGTGATGAAGATAGCGGCGAGTACCGCTGCGATGAGTATGAGGAGGACGATGACGATAACGATGACGATATGTTTACGGGATAGCTGGTATCGAGTACTTCTCGGCTGCAGAATCACGAAGGTGTCTTTCCCGTGATTGCTGCTTTCGTCATTTCCGGGGTGGGCGTTGAGCGCACGCTGCTGCTCGAGGGTCGTCTGGTCAGCCAATGTGACGTCAGGGAAGGCGCACTCCTGCTCCATGGCGATCACGTGAGCTGGTGACGTCAGCAGGGGTACCGCGTGACGCCGACACTATGGGGAAAACCCCGACCCCTTATTAGGCAATATGACGTAGTGCACCTCGACTTATACGGTGACATTAAAAAAATGTCCGCAATTGTAATTTTACACAACGTAAAAAACTATCCAGGGCACTACAAACTACGCTCAAAAGTAGTGAGATAAAAGTAAAGGTAGACCGAGCTGTCTCTGTCAGGGAGAGAAATGGTAAAAAAACTAAGGGCGGAAGCAGGCGACAGGGGAGGGATGGAGGACGGGTTATCTACTATTCTCACAGGTCCAGGGAGAAAGGTACTGAGAACTCCACCACCACAATGAACGCTACTGCAGAAAATGACGAGGTCACACGAAGTGCGGCACAGACTGTCACCAAAGCAAAGCCCGACAGATTGCCTATACTCCTTCTCCCTCTGTCTGTTGCCACTGTGACAAGCGGGGTCATCTATAGGTCACCTGACCGTCACCTTCTGCCACGTGATGGTTATGTGAGGGTTACGTGATGGTTACCTGATGATCACACAATCACGATGTTCACGTGATGGTCACGTGTGATAGATGAAGATGGCGGTCGTTACACCAGCAGTGGCATCTGTAAAAAATCAAGGGGGAGGGAAGCGGGGAAAAGTCAGAAAGCAAAGCGGGACTGAGCGCAAATGTTGCCGTAAAAAGGAAACCCAAAACAATAAAATGAAAAATATTTAAAATAAAAAAAGGAAGAAAGGAAAAAACGTAAGTGTGAATTAAAACCCTAAAAAAGAATTTGGACTTTTTCAATTGTCCAAGTCTGAGAGCGGTGACTGCGATTTCAAAGTTTTATTATTAAAATGAAATGTGAAATGTGAGGCGTGTTGGCAAAGTGAATCACTTCTCGTAAATTCATGGATGGAGGTGTGGGCTGAAAATTGACACAACAAATTTCTAGATTTAAGGTGATGTCATTTTCTTCAAGTTAAAAATACATTTTATCGTTTAATAATTTGGAATATACAAACGAAATCTGTACATTTGACGTATGTATCTGTGTCCGTAAGGCTAACATCCGAGAATTAACTCATTTCGTCACCACGAATCGCAAATGTTAAGATTACCGTAGACAAAAAGTAAACTATTATTATTATCATTATTTTTGTACTTTTTGGGGGATGGGGTGGGGGTGGTTTTTTTTGGGAG